TCATTCTCCTCGTCTGCTTCATAGAGTTGATGTGAAAGTCAAATAAATGTATTAAGACATTTTTGCAAACTTTGAAATATTATTTTTATGTGAACTATGCATTATTATGAGCTAATCATATCCTCTAAAACACAATTACTAGCACCTCTGGTATGAAGACTAGTATAAGGAACCCTTTTCAGGACTGCTCATTCATCTTTGGTGTTCACCTGCCATCCAGCTCTCACTTGTGACTCCAAGAAGCTATGCCATGTACAGCAGACATGCCCCAGGAAAACCATCTCAGTAGATGGGCTAGACCAGGTTGATGGTAGCCAACAGGCCTTAAGCCTACTGATGAGGTAAGGATGTGTCTATCCCAAGCTTGTAAAGACTTTCCCCAGTGAAGTAGGCTGATGAGAACAATTTGTTTCAATTGCCATGAAGGCAGCCAAAGCAGGAGCCGTGGAGCACTTAGAGCTTGGTCAGACATCGAAGATGTCAAAATCATCCACTGCATCCTATGCCATTGCCAGTCATCTTGATTTTTGTCTTGCCACTGAACTTCAATGACTCTGGAAGAGAGAGTGAGGTTGACAACTTTGTACGGCTCTGACTCACTTAAATCCAATTCACACACAAGTCAAGGCATAACCCCATGATGCCACTGGTCTTCTTCAAAAATGAAGGATGAACAACAATAACTGTTATTAAAAAAGATGACTGAAGGATTCAGAGAAGCATAGGAAGACATATGAAATGAAACAGTGGGAAGTAAGCAGAACCAAGAGAATAATACATACAGTTACTACAACAATGTAGATAGAAACAACAAGAAGAAAAAAGCAAATGCTGGGAAGACATAGAGAGTAAATAACACAAAATCCTCTTCCCTTAAGTCTTGTTGGGGGACTGAAAGAATGACATTAATTCTAAATATAATTCCCCTTAGAAACTGAAAAGTTCCATACTAAAGATTGTATTTAATCTTTTTCCCAAAAATGAATGTTTTCTTCCAAATTAGCTACTCTTTCAGTAGAAGCAAGTTAGCCTTTCTCATCCACCATGAGACACATTTTGACTGTATCAGTCAGATCTTTCCAGATATCATAAGGATATCAATGAGTTTTTTTTCCCATCAAGTGCTTCTACACCCCACTCATTGTAAAGTCTGAGATCACCAATTAATGCCTGGTTTAGCAAAATGTCAAAGACCTTCTATCTCTGGTGCTTGGTGTAATACGATGAGGGTTTCTCCGTTTTCCTAACAGAGATTAGATTTCCATAAAAGAAAACAAAGCTATTTCAGGATCTGAATTATCCCTGCTTCTTTTGATGCAGTTTCCTAATTACCTAAGGGCACGAAAAGTCTTACCCACTTGTAGTCAGATTGTCTCCAATTTGGTGGGTGTCTAATAGACCACGTGAGTCACTATGCCCTACCCTGCTGACCAGACATGTTTCTATATGGAGATAAAAAGGGAGCAAATCTGTAGAAGCTAAGTGTTACTGCTTGTTGTGAATATTAAAGCAAAAATGAACCCTCATTTATTAACTATTCAATGACTTATGAATGCCTTATTTCTTGTCAAAACTGAACCTCAAATAACAGGGTGCTGGCATCTGGCCTTCCTCTGAAAGTAGTTTATCTTTTTAATCAGCTGACCAGGCTATCAAAGATGGAACAGTGGGAAGAACATGGGTTCTGGAATAAGAGAATGCTAATTCAAATGTTGCTAATGATATTGTTGTAACTGTGTATGTTGTCCTGGTTCTACTTTGCTCTGCATCTATTCATATGTCCTCATGCTTCTCTGAAACCAGGCTTCTTATGTGCCGTCACCTTGGATAAATCACTTTACTTTGGGGGGGCCTCCATTTCCTTATCTGAAAAAATAGGGGTTGGATTAAGTGACTTCTGAGGTGCTTTCCAACTTTACAGCTGTGATCTTATTATGATAACAGCTGGTACCCATATAGCCACCTCCCTGCATTCTCTCTTTGATACTCATGATAACCCTGTGAGGTAGATATGAAATAAGTAGGCAGTCTTATTATTTGCATTTTACAGATGAGGAAACTGAGGTTCAGAGAAGTAAGTGACTTTCATAGGGTCATCAAGCTATTAAGTGTCACAGGTAAGATTTGAACCCAGTTCTCTCTATCTTCAGGTCCAGTGCCCCATCCACTAAGCCAGTCATCTCTGGATGATTACTAAAAATCACAGCGTCTAGATTCTTGTTTAATTTACTGTGTTAATTCATAAGATAATAAACATTAATTACACATACATGCTAGTCTGTATCACTGCAATTACACATACTTTATTCGTAAGTGAGGCCTCTCCTTCCCCCTAAAAGGTACTTTTGATTGTCTAAAGATGTAGCAAAGTTCAGAAAGGTTTGAGTAAATCTCAAATGGAAAATTAAGAACTCCTTTTCCCCCTTATTTTTTAAGATAATTGAAATCCAAGGAGAGTAAAAGCAGTTAAGTATCCTTATTCATCAGTTTTGAGGAACTGAGCTACCCCAAGATCAGGAAGGTATGTCAATCCCCCAGGCCATTTGTTACTGGTCTCTTTGTATGCCATGGGCCATAGAGTTACTGTCTGGCTAGGCTGGGGATCCATGTCTTTTAACCAAAGACTGGGCCTGGGAATTGAACTCTAGTCACTCAATACCCTTCCACTGATCATCACGCCCAGTGGCTTCAGGACAACAAATTCAAAACAGCCGGCTCATTAAAAAATAATGGAGAACTCTTGCATAAAATGTGTAAATGCAATATTGCTAAGTCTGCTTCCCAAAAGGCAAAATGAATCTATTTCCTTGCCCATGTGTAGGAGGAACTGGCCACTAGAATGGAGCAGGAGGACATGCTGGGCATCTGTACAGAGCCTCCTCACCACCCACCCAGTGCATGTGGTTATGTATGTAAAGCATGTTGTAATGGCACACAGTTATGGAAATTTGAGCTGTTATTAGCCCGTGCCCACCTATTCTCACTCCAAGGGCCAGAAAATAGGGGACTCATTCAGGGTAAAAACACCCACATCGTACCTGTGATGAATTCTGCCAACCAGAAGTTTATCAGCTCAAATTTATGTAACATTTAAAGGTTGGCAAAGTGCTTGATCTAAGTCGATAGGTTCATAGATCTGGAACAACAAACCTTGGAGACCATTTAGCCCAACTGCCTCATTTTACAGTTGAGGAACCTGACGCCAAAGTTACAAGGGTAGTAAGTGTCATAGGCCAGATTTGAACCTCAAACTCCAGAGACAATGCACATACGTGATCTTAATTGATCTTCACAGCAACCTTACTAAGTAGATACCACTATGGTGCTGATTTTACAGTTGGGGAAACTGAAGCTCAGAGAGACTGGATGATTTTGCCAGGGTTAACACTGCTCATAAGTATCAGAGGCAAGATTTCAATCCAATTCTTCCCGACTCATAGAATGACAGGATTTCAGTGTTCAGGGTGACCTCTGAGGTTGCCTTATCTAATCCACACCCTAAAGGAATTCCCGATATAACATATTCAACAGGTGGTCATCCAGACGCTACTTGAGAACCCCCCAGGAATAAAACCTACAACACCTAGAGGAAGCCCAGCCCATCTGAGGACAGCTCTAATTGTTTGAAGTTTTTCCTGCCATCAGAAGACAGATTGTGGCATATCCAGCAATGGAATGCTGGGTCTAGAATCAGGAAGACCTGAATTCAAATCTAGCCTTAGACACTTACTAGCTGTGGGACCCTGAGCAAGCCACTTCACCTCAGATTGCTACAGTTTCCTCAACTGTAAAATGGGAATAATGATCCCTCTCAGGGCTGTTGTGAGGATCATATGATATAATATTTGTAACAGCACTTAGCACAGTGCCTGGCATATAGTAAGCACAATATAAATGCCTATGCATTTTCCCTTTCCTGACATCAAACCTAAATCCACCTTTACAACCAAGGAAATACAAAATAATATGGAGTAATTTCAAGAGGGAGACAGAGAGACAGAAAAAAAGCAGAGACGGAGATGAAAGATACAAAGAGAGACAGAAAGAGATGAGACAGAAAAAGACAGACAGATACATGGACAAAGATATAGAGACAGAAAGATTGTGCTAGTGAGGAGACTAGGGGAGAGGAGAACAAGAAAGGTCACCATATGAGGTAGCTCAAGCAGAACTTCAGAGGAAGCTAGGGATCGTAAGAGTCAAAGACAAGGAGAAAGGGCATTCTAGGCATGAGGGACAGCTTGGGCAAAGACACTGGGGTGGAAGATAAGGCACCCTGGGAAGAATAGAAAGAGGGCTAGTTTGGCTAGACCATAGAGTGTGGAAAGAGGAGTAAAATGTATTAAACCCAATGTGGGCACTCCCTCCATCTGTGTAGGTCTTAACCCTTTCATATTTTCTAATCATTCCCTTGTGTTCCCAGCAGCTAACACTGGCTCCCCCAAAAAACTACCTCGTATTTATTTTGAATATATTCTGCATATACTTTTCTGTTCAGATTGTCTCCTCCATTTAAATATAAGCTCCCTAAGGGCAAGGATTATTTGTGAAATCACTTCTGTCTTTGTATCTCCAGCATTTAGCATGGTGTCTGGCCGCAGAACAATTGGCTCTTTCCTACTGGTCGGAGTCAGCTCTGGACACCACTGGACACTGTCAGAGAACTCGAACCTAGTTCTTCCTGACTCCAACAAGTCAGACTCCAGATCTTCATTCATTACACTATGTTGCCTCTCTGGTGTGCAGTTACGCATTTATAATCTGCAATGACATTCTCAGACAGGCTTTATTATTGTACTCATCTCCAACACTGCCCTCAATCTATTGCACAGATTGGTGGGTTGTGAGTTTATTTAGATTGCTTAGAAGCTGCCTTCTCAGGGATTGCATGCTCATTACACAGTCCTCTATTCTTCCACGGAATATACAGCACACACACTTGTCAGCTTCCCTTAGTTGCTGTTGCCTAGAGATGATTAGGGACAACAAGAGACTAGAGAATGTGTGGTTGTACTGTGAGCACCAAGGATCAAAAGCCCTGCTTCGGAGGGGAAGCCCATCCTTCAGGATCCCCTCCAGCAACCTCCCTGTCTCCAACAATGCTGAAAAGGTCAGTGGTCCAGCTTGACTTCCATTTTCATTCTGGCTTGCTGCTCTAATACCAAGAGTTAATAATGTCAAAGGCCTCGGAGCTTGCGGATTGCAAGCTTGGAGCCTTTTAACCAGAGAAATCCACCTTTAAATTGAATTGAAAGATCACAAGGACCATCTCGCAGTTTTGACCTCAAAAAGAATTAAAAACAAAAAAAAAAAAAACCTCTCTCCATTAACTGAGAATGATCTGATTAACCCAAGTTAATGTAACTCACCTCTTGGGAAACATTTGAGGCTGAAGCTTTTTGTTAATGATTTTCCAGATAAAATCTACTGTAAGATAAATAAGCCATCTCAGCTGACATGTGAAAGAGGGAAATCATTTCAGGCTATTCAAATATGTAAAATGTGTCCATTGATTCCACAGTGGGAGAGAAAGGAATCATTTCCCTCTTCTATCCTTTTGGGGACTGTCTTTAACAGTCTTCAAGAATGGGAGCGGTTTCTCATTTGCTCTGTGGCTTTTTGCAAAAGAAAAAAAAAGATTAAATTGGCCATGGTCATGTCGTAGTTTACCTGAAAGAAAGTAGAAATTTGTTGACAGTTTTTTTTTTCATGGCAATCCCCCAATTAAGTCTCCCTGAATCTTAATGTTGCTTTCATTTTCATTGACAGCATCCCGATATCCAAACAACTGTCTTCTGTGAAAGGTAAGATGCAGAGAGATAAAAACAAGTGTGATTAATAAAACATCTTCTCTGGCTTGAAAGAGTATGCTGCCGTGCCCAAAATTAGAATAATGCATATGGGGGTCCCTCTGGGGCCCTCAGCATCTAGGGCCAATGTTATCAAGTATGCTACATGTGAGATCCTGAGCAAATCCAAAGGCACCAGCCCTGGAATAGGAGGCCAGAGCCCTAGGATCTAGTCCTGGTTCTGCCAGTGATTAGCTGTGTGGTCTCAGCATGTGCCCAACTATTCTTACTGGGATTCTAGGCCTCAGTTTCCTGAGGTTGAATTCAAAGACCTCTAAGGCTCCTTTCAGTTCTAACATTCCATAATTCCATGGTTCCTTGCAATCAATTCAAATATCTCTACTAAGTGGAGCAGGGAACCCTCAAATCATTTATATCTGATTGGAATCCATTTACAGGTAAAATTTCCATAAAGGGGTTATCATGGCTACCAACATATCTGTATAAGGAAAAGGGACATAAGCTCTTCTTATGAGTCACTGTAGGCTATCAAGAATTGACTGAGTGTTGTTTCTTTGAGTTCCATCAGATCAGCAAGAGTTAGTTAGATTTGAGATGTTCTTTTAAGCTCTCAAACATAGAGTTGGAAGGGATGTCTGTGTCTGTGTAGTTCCACCTCTTTCTATTACAAAAAAGGAAACTGAGGCCCAGGGAGGTTGAGTGACTTGCCCAGAGGCAGCATTTAAACTCAGGCCTCCTGACACTCGAGTTAAGGTTATTTACACTGCAAGCAGTGTATAACAGTACTTGCCTCAAACTTTCTCCTCACAAAAATCTGACTGTCATCTTGAGATTAGGACCCAGGGTGCTCTATCTCCCACCTCAGTGTCTTTGCCCAAGCTGTCCCTCATGCCTAGAATGCCCTTTCTCCTTGTTTTTGACTCTTACAATCTCTAGCTTCCTCCAAAGTTCTGCTCGAGCTACTTCATATGATGACCTTTCTTGTTGTCCTCTCCCCTAGTCTCCTCACTAGCACAATCATTCTGTCTCTATATCTTTGTCCATCTTGTCTGTCTTTTTCTGTCTCGTCTCTCTTTGTATCTTTCATCTCTGTCTCTGTTTTTTTTTCTGTCTCCCCCTTGAAATTACTCTATATTACTCTGTATTTCCTTGGTTGTAAAGAAGTTGCCTTCCCCTTCTCTGCCCAGTGTTGGCATCCCTTGCACCCATCAGGGGCTTAAGTGTCTGCTGAACTGTTCAATTAAGTAGCGGGTCTCCCTTGTAAGCAGCAGGGGACAGTGGGCACCATGGCTTAAGAAGAACAGTGACTAACTGAAGAGCGTTCTGAGCAGGGCAATCAGCACAGCAAAAGGCATGGAGTCCATGCCATATGAAGAAATGGGATTATTTGACTCAGAAAAAAATAGACTGGAGGGAGAGGGGAAGAAGGAGTGAGTGCATGATGGCTGTCTTCAAGTACTTAAATGCAGTTACAATGAAAGGAATTAGATTTACTTCATTTGGCTCCAGAAGGCAGAGCTAGAAGCAGTGCAGGGAAGTTGAGTAAAGGTGGATTTAAGTTTGATGTCAGGGAAGGGAAAATGCATAGGCATTTATATTGTGTTTACTGTATGCCAGGCACTGTGCTAAGTGCTGTTACAAATTCCTTTTGATTGCTACAACAACCCTGGGAGGTAGGTTTTATTAATATCCCCACCTTACAGCTAAGAAAACTGAGGCACATGGATGTTAAATGACTTGCCCAGAGCTACAGGCAGGATTTAAACTCGGGTCTTCCTGAGTTCCAGCTCCAGCATGTTATTGACTATACCTCCTATCTGCCTCAGGGTATAAAGTACACGGGGTGGGGGGGGAGGGAAGGGGTGGTGTCAGACAAAATGAGCTTTTCCAAGGGAGCTTAAGATCACTTCTGCTTTGGGGAATCAAGAAAGACTTCAGGGAAGTGTCTTGAATGAATGGACAGATGATAACAAAGATGGAGCAATGTGGATGCTGTTCCTGAGATGAGAGGCAGCGGACCAAAAAGTTTGGAGGTGCAACTACTGGCCCTTACAAATAAATTCCCAACACAAACAACTATGTCATGCTACGTCTCACGCTGCACGTACTGAGTGCTTTAATACATGAATCAGCAGCTAATCTTTTACATGAGATTTCTGTCAGAGTTCCCTCACCAAGCACAGGCTCTTAGCTCATGAGGGGCTGAGTCATAAGGGGGTGGGCAACTAGAGTCAAAGAAAGGATATTTTTTATCTCCTTTCAAGCTGATCTCCCCAAGCCCAAGTCTCTGGAAACCAAGAAGAGTGGCGAGGCATCTGGGTATGTCCCAATAGCTATTCTGTCCCTCCAAGTTTCCTGTGTCCACAATTCTACCTCCACAGCTGGCAATGGGAATGCAGCACCTAATGCCAGGGAAACCTAGAACAGATAGAATGTCTCCTCTTTGAATCATCTGAAAATTTAGAACAGAGGAAGTTCTATGGACATGTTTTATCACCACCCTTCCCTCAGAGAAAGTAAACTCCCTGAAGATGGAGATTGTTTCATTTTTGTCTTTGTATATTCCATACATCCAACATAGAGCCTAGCACTTAGAGTCTAGAATGGAACAGAACTGATGGGAACAGAAATAAGCATTTAGATAGCACCTACTATGTGCTAAGCATTGTGCTAAGTGCTTTTTAAAAATCTTATCTCATGCAATGGACGTCATGGAATTGAAATCATGGTTGAGAGCCTGCCACTGGCTGAACCACACTCTGTTATCTTCCACTGTTCCCCTCATCCTTCTGTAAGCTGTGGATTTCCCTCCTTTCTTTTGTTCACTTTCAGAGTGGAAGAGCAGGATCAGTGCGGAAAAAGAGATAGGGAAGAATTTAAAAACTGACAAGCCCATGGAGGACCAACACAAACCCACAGAAAACACTGGAGAATATGTGGCATTGCCCAGTTAGGTCTACACAACCTATGGCATCCTTGATAAAAATACACAGAATCATAAAATCAATCATCAATAAGGATAGACTAAGTGTTGACTGTAACAGGTGCTGTGCTATGTGCTAGGGATACAAAGAGAGGCAAAAACAGTGCTTGGCTTCAAGCTGCTGAAAAGAGAGGTCCCTTTGTCCAACCTCTTCATATTAATAGTTGATAAGTACATGGGACCGTAAGGTTTGCAAAAGACTTTCATTTGAGCCTCTCAATAGTCTTATAAGTCTGTCACGATCATTATTCCTATATTCCCATTTTACAGATAGGTCCCACAGAGGTTAAAGTGATTTGCCCAAGGTCACACAGGTAGTTAGTGTTAAGTGTCAAAGAACACGGGTTTTCTTGACTCAAAGTTCAGCATTCCACACACTAGATTCCTCTGACTCTCAAGTCCAATGTTACCTATGAGCAATGCATCCCCATTGCAACCTATTCTGGCAATCCCTCTAGGGAAAAAAAAAACCAATCATTTCCACAAAGTGCCAGTGCCACCTGAAGAGAAATAATAGATTCTTGCTTTGGCTTAGGTCACAGTACCCTTGTTAATTCTGTTTGCGACAAGAGGAAATTTATCTAGTCATGAGCTTGGAGGAGATCTGTTGAGTTTACTGAAGTTATAATTCAAATTCAGAAAGCAGCAGGAAGTACTGCCTAGGGACTTTGGAAGGCAGGGGTGCTCATGTCAGAAGCTCCCCACCTTTGGAATCCAATCAGACTCAAATATCAAATATATATATATATATATATATACATACATATGTATATGTGTATGTGTGTGTGTGTGTGTGTGTGTGTGTGTGTGTATATAAATATATATCACTAGCTTTTCCAGTTGAGGTATCCAGTGGATAGAAAATGTGGCTTGAAGTCAGGAAAACCTGAGTTCAAATCTAACCTCAGACAATCACTAGCTGGTGACTCTGTGCAAGTTATTTAATCTCAGTCTGCCTTAATTCACTAGAGAAGGAAATGACAAACAGCTTCAGTATCTTTGCCAAGAAAACCCTATACAGACTCACAAAGAGTCAGACACAACTGAACAACAGCAAAGCTTTTCCAGGCATTATTTAGAGACCCTCTGTAGAAGTAGCTCCTCTAAAACAATTGACATTCTGCAAATTTTCATCCCAAGGACAGAGTCCAAGCACACTTTCCAGATTTCAAGAGATTATTTCTCCCTCATCTAAAGAAGTCAAAAATTCCATCCATGGCTGAATAGTTGATGTATTGGGAAAGCATCAGACGATGAATCAAAACGTCTAGGTTTGACTTTTCACAGTTCGATTTACTAGCTCTGAAACCTCAAGTCTCTACAATTCAACCAAACTGGCTTTCTTGGACACTGCATCTCCATCTCCATGCCTTCGCAGTGGCCATCTCTCATTCCCGAAATAGATTCTCTCCTCACCTCTGAAGGCAGCTAGATGGTGTAGTGGACAGAGCACTGAATCTGGAGTCAGGAAAACCTGGGCTCATATAGAGCTTCAGACACTTACCAGCTATGTGACCCTAGATAAGTCACTTAGCCTCTGATGGAGGATAATAACAGCATCTACCTCACGGGGTTATTGTGAGGATCAAATGAGATATTTGTAAAGCACTTAGCACAATGCCTGGCACACAGTAGATGCTATGTAAATCTTTATCCCCCTTTCCTTCTGCTCCTCCCATTACTACTCCTTTCCTTACTGTCTTGAAGATGAACTCAAACTCAAAGTGATCCTCCCATCTTCTACTGCCCTCCCTCACTATACCGTCTAGCATTCATTGTATCTAAAGTTTATACATACTTATACATATACATGTTGTCTTCTCCAATTGAATATAATCTTCTCAGGAATGGAAATTGTTTTGTTCTTTGGTCTTGTATCCCCAGCACCTAGTGATGTCACTGACACATAGTAGGTGCTTACTCAATGCTTGTAGATTTCTTGACAAAAGTCACATCATCAGTGAACAGCCTGTGTGCTCCATTGGTTTCCTTTTAATGTCCAAAGAAATGAAGGCAGTTCCCCACCATGTTGAATAGCCCTGCTGTGGAGAAATTAAGGAAAGACACAAACAAACAGCCACCTGCCTTCTATGAGAAATCTGTTCTTGTACTCCTTAACTCCAGTGCCTTCCCTTTCTACTTTATCTTGTTTGCAGGAAACTATTTGCATTAGACTGGGAACTCCTTGAGGACAGGGACTGTCTTTTGCCTTTCTTTGTGTCTCTAGTGCTTAGCACAGTGCAATGCCTGGCACTTAGTTGGTGCTTAATAAGTACTTATTGATTGACTGATTGACCTATGATAGTCATGCATGAATGAGTTATGCTTTATAACATCTGAGAAAGAACCCAAGCTGATGAGATCACAGATCTGTTGGAAAATTGGTGTAATCTTGGGCAATCCCTCAGTTTCTCCAGGGCTCAAATTCTTCATCTATAGAACTCAGTGATGGAACTAGGTCTCCAGGCCCCTTTTGGCTCTAAATCCATGATCTGATGACCTTGGACAAACCACTTAATCTCTGAAGAGCTCAGAGTTCTCATTTGCAAAGGTGAAGACTGGACAAGATAATCTTTAAGGCCCCTTCCAGTGGGAAGTTCAGAGTCTTATATCATTGAGTCTCTCCAGGTCTCATCTTTCTCATTGTAAATGAGGGGTTCTATGACTGCTAAAGTCTTATCAAGTTCTAACATGCTCAGGTCTTAGATCGCTGCTTAATTTTTCTCTGCAAGTGGTATGAAAGCAACCAAGCTTCTCAAGTCCTAAAATCAGGTCAAAACAAGAGGCTTGCTAGGCCAATTAGAGAGAGTATGTTTACCTCAAAGATGTGATTTTTTTTTCCTGAAGCTGTCTGCTTCTTAAAGGCTGATCTATTTATAAAGCACAGCTCATCTCTCAACCAGGCAGGCTCAGGACTGCAGATATTCTATACATACTAAAGTTTAAAAATTAAACACATGAACAGACAAATTCTTTCCCTTTGGAAGACATTGACAGGTATATTTCTTAATTAATACATTCAGAAACATATTACATAATACATTCAGAAATACACCTGTCAAGCCTAATGCATTTTGCCTGAGAATAAAGAAATGTCATTCACTATGTCATGGGCATCAGCCACAAAATAAGTATACCGGGCATAGCCAAGGGAGAGCAGAGGATATGTCAGCACTAGAATTTTGTGGTAGAACATAGAAAGAAGCTAGGAAGCCAAGGAGTAGGGTTAGAGGTGAACAGTCTAGACTAGCTGATGAAACAACATCTGTGGGAGTAATCAGTCCATGGTCTCAATATGCATGCCCATCCATTGAAGCTTAAGGTGAAGCAACAGTGCCAAGTATGCCTAACTCTGGGCATTCTGCTATAGGAATGGGAAATTAGGATCAGAGATTTAGATGGAGACAGGAGCATAGGGGCAGTCTTCATAGATATAATGAGACCCAGAAAGGTGATGGGGCTTGTACTAGGTCACATGTAGGATTATAGATTCAGAGTGACAATGCTTGTAGATTTCTTGAATCTTAGAAGCCATCAAGTCCAATCTTTCACTTTACAGATGAGGAAACTGAGGCTCAGAGATATGACTTGTACAGTGTCACATATAGGACCATAGTTTTTGAGCTAGAAGTATCATAGAGGGCCTTGACTTCAAACTCATCATTTTATAGATGAACAGCCTGAGGCCAGAGAAGTAAAGTGACCACACAGTTAGAAAGTGGCACACTTGAGATTTTAACCCATTTCCTCTACCCCTCTGAATCCAGAGTTCTTCTACCGTACCACACTGAACTTGTGCAATTCAACCTGTGGCTCTAACTCTAATGTGGATCTTTTCTTCATTCCCTGATTATAGTGCCCACCATGTACAGCCTGATATGATCCTAGACTAGTAGAGATGACCATGGGTAGCCCAAGATGGCACAAGGGCATGAAACCCAAGACCAAAAAACAGGCATTCTAAAGTGGCAGCTTTCAGGTCCCAGCTGCCACCAGTCTCTCCCTAGCACACATTCCATTCACTGCCACCATAATATGCCATGCATGGCATCACAAGAATTATAGTGTAGGGAGAAAAAGAGATAGATTAGTGCAGAGATAAGAGACCAAGATTTAGAGCAGGAGGACCTAAGGAGGACCTGATGCCCCAGGCTTTTATTATGTTCACCCCCCCCCAACAACCTTGTATGAATGAGTGAAAAGCATTTATTAAGAGCTTATTGTATTCAAAGAACTGTGCTAAATGTTGAGGATGAAAATCAAAAAGCAAGACGGACCCTAATCTCAAAGAGCTAACATCCTAATATATTTACTTATCTTTCTTGTATTTATTTGTACTTATTCTCTTTAAACTTATTCTAACTATATTTATATGTGTCCTTGTTGTCTAGCCTGATAGAATATTAGCTCTTTGAGAGCAAGAATTGTTTGATTCTTTGTCTTCGTGTCCAATAGTGCTTAGCCCAGCACGTGGCATGTAGTAGCTCTTAACAAATGCTGATTTATTGATTAATTAATTGATACATGAACAGTGCTGCCATTCACAGAGTGCAAATTTGTATGGAAGGAGTCAGTAAAACATTCCCCCCACTGTTCCCACTCACACCCATCAAGTGAGCTACAAAGGACTGATGAAGGACCAGTCCAGCACATGTTATTTCCCAGGAAACCATGTCTCTACTACATTTCACTCCCATCTCCTCCCCTGTTCCTTTAGAACAGATAGTTCTTAATTATCTCACATAAAAGAGATTCAAAAGGAAGAGCTTGCACAGTGGAAAGGAAGATAGAGGGGTTGTGGGCAATGCTGGAACTTTACTGTCATTGGAATTGTTTCAAAGAGAGAATAACATACACATCAGGTGGGTATAGAAATCTATTTTACCCAGCACAGAAGTGAGAGGAGGGAAAGCATAAGAGAAAGGGGAGGAATGATAGAAGGGAGGGCAGGATATGGGAGGTAGTCATCAGAAGTAAAATAGATTTTTGAGAGGAGGGGCAAAGTAAAGAGAGAGAGAGAGACAGAGACAGAGACAGAGACAGAGAGACAGAGAAGGATAAACAGAGGAAAATAGGATGGAGGGAAATACTAAGTTAATAATTATGACTGGAAATGGGAATGGGAATAACTGACCCATAAAATGGAAGTGGAATACAAAGTGGATTAAAAACCAGAATCCTACAATAAGTTGTTTATACATAGAGAATAAAGTTAAGGGGCTAAAGCCAGTGCTATTGTGTTTCAACTGAAGAGAAGAAAGAAGAAGAAGAAGAAGAAGAAGAAGAAGAAGAAGAAGAAGTAGCAATCACGATCTCAGATAAAGCAAAAACTAAAATAGTCCTAATTAAAAGAGATAAGTAGGGAAACTACATTTTGCTAAAATGTCCCTAGACGATGAAGTAATTTTAATACTAAACATACATGCACTAAATGGCATAGCATTCAAATTCTTAAAGAAAAAGTTAAATGAGTTATAGGAGGAAATAGCAAAACTATACTAGTAGGGGACCTCAACCTTCCCCTCTCAGAACCAGATAAATCTAACCATAAAATAAACAAAAAAGAAGTTAAGGAAATGAAAAGAATTTTAGAAATTTAGAAATAATAGACTTCTGGAGAAACTTTAATGGGAATAGAAAGGTATATACCTTCTTCTCAGCTATAGATGGCACCTTCACAAAAACTGATGATATACGAAGGCATAAAAACTTCACAACCAAATGCAGAAAAGCAGAAATATTAAATGCATCATTTTTACACCATAATGAAATAAAAATTATGTTCAATAAAGGGCCATGGAAACATAGATTAAAAATTAATTGGAAACCAAATAATCTGATCCTAAAGAATTTGTTGGAGTTGTGAACAGATTCAACCATTGTGGAGAATAATTTGGAACTATGCCCAAAGGGGATAAAACTGTGCATAGCCTTTAACCCAGAAATATCACTACCAGGAGTATATTCTAAATAGATCTAAGAAAAAGAAAAAGGATTCATATGTACAAAAATATTCATAGCAGCTCTTTATGTAGGGCAAAGAATTAAAAATTAAGGGGATGTTCATCAATTGGGGAATGGCTGAACAAGTTGTGGCATATGATTGTGATGAAATATTATTCTGCTATAAGAAATACAAGCAGGATGGTTTCAGAAAAACCTGGGAAAACTTATATGAACTGATGCAAAGTGAAGTGAGCAGTGGAGAACATTGTAAGCAGTAACAATATTGTATGATAATTAACAATGAATGACCTAGCTTTTTTCAGCAATACAAAAATCCAATACAATTCTGAAGGACATATAATGAAAAATGCTATGCACTTTCAGAGAAAGAAATGAGGGAGTCTAAATGCAGATCAAAGCAAACTTTTAAAATATTTCTTTATTTTTCATGGGGGTTGGTCTGCGTTTTCTTTTGCAACATGGCTAATGCAGAAATGTGTTTTGTATGATTGCACATTTATAATCTATATCAAATTGCTTGCTTTCTCAGGGAAGGGAGAAGAAGGTAGGCAAAGAATTTGGAACTTAAAGAATGTTAAAAAAAAATTTTACATGTACTTGAGGGGAAAAAAAGAAGCAAGCACAGCAAAAAATAAGAAAGAAGAAGAAAAGAAAGGCTAGCTCTTGCGTCTCTAGATCACATTTTCCATCATATAACATAGCTTTGCATGTAATCTCTTTTATAGCTCTGGGGAAAGGCTCAGACCTGGAAAAAGCCTTTGCTACTGCAGCTCTGATTTATAATAACTCTTCTGACCCAGATGGTAAACTCAGTAAATCCGTCGCCAAAAACTTACTGAAGACCCAGTTTATGAATTTCATCCAGGTAAGGAGATTAAAGTGCACAGGCAGTGTCCAAGCCACAAATATCGCTTTGCTAGAGGGACATTTCCTATCTTAAATCAAGATTTGATTTTTTTTTGCCTCACAGAAACCCTACATATAGTAAGATAGTAAAAAGAATAACTACTTTGGAATAAACTTTGCACCAGTAAAAAGAAAGTGTTATCTTTGGGTGGTTTTCCTTAGAGGATGTTCTTTTAATATTTGCCCTTTAAAAATTTTACTTAATTATGGGCTTGGTGGGTGTCTGTTTCCAGTGAGTCATAGTGAGCCATTTTATGTGATATTGTCAAATCTTCAGTGACTTATTAAAACAAGAGAATATAATAGAAGGCAGTTAGATGGGTTGCCTTATTAGTATTCATCCCCATCTTTAGAGATCCAAGATTACAGATTGGGATGGTCAAGAAGCTTAAACAGGAACTATTTGGAATCAAGGCTAGCATTATTAGTGGAATCCAGGGAGATGAAATTGAATTAGAATAATTTAAAAGTTCTAGCCTTAGATTCAAAAAATCAACTGCCCAAGTTCAGGGTGAAGGAAGGATGGATAGACAGCAGATCATGGTGAGAAAGGATTGAGCATTGTGGGGGAGTACAACCTGAATATACATCGATACATACATACATATATACATACATATATATATATATATATATATATAACATGACAACCAAATAAGCTATGGTGATCTCCAGCTGCATTAAGCAGCAAACAGCATTCAGAATAATCAATCAATTATTTATTAAGCTCTTAGTCAGTCAACGTCAACAAGCATTTATAAAGTTCTTACTGCATGTCAGGCAACTGTGCTAGTTTGTGGGTACAAAAAAAGGTAAAAACATCATCCCTTCCCTGAAGGAGCTCACTTTTAAATTTTATGTTATTATTTCAATTAACAAGCATGTATTTTCTCTCCTTCTCAATTCCCCCCAAAACAAACCCCTTATAACAAATAGGCTTAGTCAAGTAGAACAAATTCCCATACTGGCTGTGAAGAAGCTCACATTCTAATAAGGGAGATAACATGTACATAATTAAGTACATACAAAATATATACCAAGTAGTAAGTGGGTACAAAGATATGAACCCTGCTCTTCAGGAACTCACATTCTGTCAAGACACATGTATGTGTGTGTGCACGCCGCTCTCTAATACACATACACAATGTATAATAAACACAAAGTATTTTAGTGAGGATAAAAATAGTTGTCAGGCTTCATGTAGATGTTGGTGCTTGGATAAAGAAGGTGATAGGTCAACTGTCCTCCATCCTGGACAGCCCATGTGTTCAGTTTTGTTTCAGTTCCTAAGCACCACAATTTGGAAAGGACAATGACATACTAGAGCAGTTCTTAAACTGGGGGCCCATGAAATTGGATGGGAAAAAACGACATCATCATTTTCACTCTCTGAAATTGAGTATTTCCTCCAAATATTTAAAAATATTATTCTGAGCAGGGAGCCATAGGATTCACCAAACTGCCAAAGAGGTACAGAACACAAAAAAAATTAAGAACCCCTGAATTAGAGTACGTCCAGAAGAAAGCAATCAGGATGGTGAGAGGATTGGAAATAATGCTGTATGAGAATCAGTTGAAGGAACTTGGAATATTTAGCCTGGAGAAGCAAAGATAAGGAAGACATAGTTGCTATCTTCCACAACTTGACAGGTTGTCATGTGGAACATGGATTTATTCTGCTTGGCTCTAGAGGACAGAAAAAGGAGCAGAGACAGCATGATATATCCAAAAGAGCATTGGCTCTCTGGGGTATGGGTTCAAAACCTGCCTCTAATGTTACGTGTGTGACCTTGGGCAAATCACTTTACTTCTCTTGGATTCATTTTCCTCAACTGCAAAATGAGGGGTTTGGACCCAACTGCAAGGTCCCTTCCATCTCTAAATCTATGATCCCATGAATAACATGGGTAAATTGCAGAGAGGCAAGTTAAAGTTTAATATAAGGAAAGGCTATTAGAGTAGTCCAACAGTAAAACTGCTTTGGGGAAGAATGAGTTCCCAGTTCCCAGATAGCTTCATGCAGAGGCTGCATGGCCACTTGGTAGTAATGCCAGGGGAATTTCTGTTTAGATATGGATTAGACTCAGTGACTTCTGAAGTCCTTTCTAATCCAAGATTCTTTGGATTTGTTGGCAGTCCGTCCTAAATGTGGGATAAACAGAAGAAAATTTGTAACCACTCATATTTCAAAAACACAAAAATATGTATAGTCCCCAATTTAATGATACCACCTGTTATGCTGGACTTACCTTCCACATGAGGAAACTTTATTTCAATGGACTCTAGGGGACCCCTCTTTTCCTGAGCCTCCTTGGTGGTATTGGTGAAAAGGTCTAAAGTATCTTGTTATATCCTATTTGATTGAAAATAATTGTCTTCTACAAGCAAGAAGGAAACATAAGCTAATAGGAACCATCTATGGACTAAGTCCCAGAAGCAAACAGCCCTAGGAATGTAATCTAGCTCACCATTACTTATCTTCATGTAAAAGTGAGATTGGATTGGGATTGGTAAATAACTCTCTTCTACCCTGTCTTCCATCCTATAATCCTCTTCATATTCTGAAATAAAACATGAGATAAGGAATTACCATTACACCATGTGTTTTCCCTCACCCAATTCTCCATAGGACCTCACAGAACAGGTCCTGAAGAAAGTGTAAAAGATTTGCTTCTCTGATCAGACAGGTGAGTAGGTCACCCCACTGGCTCATTGCTTGAAAAACCCAGCATTTCCAAACAAAGCCCAAACACCTGTCAATTCAGTCAAAAACTCAACAAAACATCATTTACATCATGTCAGGCAGGCAGTCTGACTTGGGCTTTTGGTGAAACTGATTAAATTTTTTAATGCAAAGTTTTGTACCTTTTTTTTGCTAAAGTTCCCCGTATTTTTTTTTTTTACCAAGTCTATAAGATATTTTAACACAGTATAGAACAACCACCATGTCTCCATTCAGTCATAGAGGGCTATATTGCTGTGGGGAGCCATGGTCTTAGAGGAGAAAGATAATCGTGTCTATTTCATCCATCCATTCAATAAGCATTTATTAAGCATCAACTAAATACAAAGCACTGTGCTTGGCACTGAACCTAAAAAAAATGAAATAACCCAGGCCCTCCAGGATCTTACAGTCTGTTGAATCTAAATCAGTAAATATGGATCATTTAAAAAATAAGACTATAATTGCAAAAAGAAATTGTAGACAACGGAGGGATCAGGAAAGGTTTTGCATAGGAGATATCGCCTGAACTGAATCTTCAAAGGCACTAGAGAATCCAAAAGGTCGTGGTGCTGAAGAGGGTGTGGTGTTTTAAAAGGTTAGAGCGTTCTTTACAGCTCTCGCCAACCGTGGGGATCTCCCAGGACAACTAGCACAAGCGTCGCAAGACCGGAGGCAAGCATAACTCCTACCACGAGAAGCGCGAGTATGATCTGGGCCTCCGGCCCACCAACACCAAGATCGAGGAGGCAGCAAAAAGTAGCGGGCGCTGAGGCTGGACGTAGGCAACTTCTCCTGGGGCTCCGAGTGCTGTACCAGAAAAAAAAAGGATTATTGACGTGGTCTATAATGCATCAATGAACTGGTCCGGACCAAGGCACTGGTGAAGAATTGCTTCGTGCTCATCGATAGCACCCCAGACCGCCAGTGGTGTGTGAGTCCCACTATGCCCTGCCCTTGGGCTGGAAGAAGGGAGCGAAGCCGACTCCGGAGGGGGAAGAAATTAAATAAAAAGCGGTCAAAAAAGATCCAGAAGAAATATGAGGGACGGAAGAAGAATGCCAAGCTCAGCTCATTTCTGGGGGGACAGTTACAGCAGGCCAAGCTCCTTGCCTGCATCACATCGAGGTCAGGCCAGTGTGACCGAGCAGACAGAGACGTGCTGGAGGGCAAAGAACTTGAGTTCTACCTAAGAAAGATCAAAGCCCGAAAGGGCAAATAAGCCCTAACTTGGACATTCTCTAATGGAATAAATCCCCAGGTTGTTTAAAAAAAAAAAAGGTTAGAGGAACATAATTTCTGGGTAATTTAATCATTTTATTAATAATACCTGCATTGTAGTAAAAGGATGGTCATTCAGACACTTCTTAGACCAAAGACAATCGTGGTGGTGGGCTCATGGGTTATATGACCATTGGTGTTCTGCACCCTTGGGTGTTTCCAAGGGTGGCTATCAACTCTGATTGATTAACAATTAATGAGAGAATGAATATTATGATGAGGGGCTGGACCTGAACATGGATTATGTCATTTACTTCTTAAATTCCCTCCAGCCTTGGGAAATATATTCAAAGAATTTACGCCCACCCAAATCTGAGTAGAGCACAATGGCTGCCCCACCTGGGTGGGGTCTGGATAGAGAAGAAGGTTAGCTCAACCTTTAGAGACTGAGGTCTTGAAATGATGATAAAGGAAACCTGAATCTCCTCAAATCATTAGTTATTAATAATAATTTCTCTCAATGGAGGACATACCAGATATGTGGAATAGTCTGGACAAAGGCAATGAGACAGGAAATTGTACAAAGAACAGCCAGCAAAGCAGGTTGGCTGGAATTTAGAATATTACTGGACAGAAAGGGACAAGGAGAGAAAATGTGTGCAAGTAGAATGACAATGACCTGGCTTCTGATTGGAATCTAGAAACATGGCTTTGCTCTGTGTGCAGAAGCTACATTCTCTCCAGGGCTTTCAAGAGATATTCTTTAGTCATTATCATGATTATTTTTGACAATTAGCATGTGGGTGAGCATTTGGTGATTAAGCCAAGATGATAAATGAGAATCCAAATAGCTAGGTTACTGAGTGGAATGACCTTAATGTTTGCAGTGTTGGCAGGAAAGATTATTCATGAGTTGTAGTCTGAACTGAGGCCCTCCATTAATAATGTGATTCATATTTGTACCGTCAATCTTTCTGTTTGTGTGAACTCTGTGTTTGGGTTTGATTTATGAGTGAATTGAATGTGGAAGGTCTTCCAAAGCACATATATTTTCTCTCAGCAATTATATTTCAGAATTCTTGGCAATCTTATTTGGTGGGAGTGGGGGAAAAAAAACTATTCTTGAACCTAGAAATGCAGACCTATATGAATGTTTTCTAGGCACTGGTCCTACAACCCAGCAGATTAAAATTTTGAAAATGGAAAATCTATGAACACCTACAAACATGGGGTGTCAACAGTGCTCTGAGAACATTTTTTTTAATTGTTACTCTCACAGGGACAAGAAAACAAACCCAAGTATAAAGAGATCCTTTCTGAGCTTGAAGAGCAAACAGAGAATAAACTGGGTTTTGAAGATTTCATGATCTTGCTCTTGAGTATTGCTCTAATGTCGGATCTGCTTCAAGAAATCTGGACATCAAAAATCACCAAGTGAAATGGCATATCAGAATGGCTAGAGGACGCCCAGGCAGTAGAAGATGGTGATAAAAGGTGCTACCACCTTTGATCAATTGCAAATTTGTCTAAAGTATAAAGCTTGTTGTAAAAAAAAAAAAAACCCTCCATATGGAGCTTGCTCTGTTACATATCAGATCCATCTCTCATACCTACAGTGTTACATCACACTTCTCTCTCCCTTTAACAGTGGAAGTTTGAAGGTGACCTCTAGCATCAACTGGTTTCTGGCATCCTGGTTTCCAAGAGCACTCTATTGTGAGTCAGTTTCTCCTGAGTTATAGGGAAAGAGCGCTAGTTTGAATCAGAAGGCCTGAGTTTAAATCCCTTTTCTCTCTCTTTTCTCATCCATAAAATCAGGAGGTTAGACTCGACCTCCAAGGTCCCTTCCATCTCTAGACCTGTGAGCTTACTTTGTTAGCATGATTAGAGGTACAACTTAGAAAGATTTTCACCTGGACTTCACCAAAAGCTATGGCCGTTGGTAGCACAGAGGAGAATGCCCCTGTCACCATATGCTAGTGAAGGCTCTGGGCACAAGTATCCTCATCACTTTGTGTTCTGATGCAGTACTTTATAAACCTAACACCAGACAGTGGCTGAGCCTCTAGGAGACTAGACAGTTGCCCCCAGGCTCCTGAACTTAGCTTGAGGAAATATAAATCACATTATAGCGAGAAGGCACCTTAAACTCTTTCTGAATTAATACCTTATTGAATGGCACCAGGAAATCTAAGGGATTGATACAGCCTCCAGGTTGGAGTCAGAGATTGTATCCATAGAGCACAACAGGGAAGGGGTGAACAGGGCTGAGATGATCTAGTTTATTAGACTGTTGTCATTAGCTATTCTGAATAATTCAGACCTAAAATAATTGTGAGTTGTTTTTTTTTTCTTTTAAATCGAAACTATCCTGAGCAACTCTCCACACAGCCTGGTTAACCAGTCAGTTACAATGGCCCTCCTCCTCCCAAGAGAGGAAACAGCTTATGCAATACAGGAAATACTTTGATTGTAAAAACTGTCTTTTGTGAAATTGAGTGTTTAGTTATTAACCTGTTTTTGTTTGCTTGAATTTGCTGTTTACTGAGGGCAGTGGCTCCAAAAAAATGGAATACAGCAACAATAAACATTTATTAAACATTTATCATGCTCCTCATACTGTGTTGGACACTAGGGATACAAAGTGGGGAAAATGAAAAGAAATAATTCTTGACCATAAAGAGCTTACTTACACTCTACTGGCGGAAGGGAGGGATAGTGAGCATAACAATTACACAGTTCAGTACCTAAAAAATATTTCATTCATTTAATAAGTACTGATCAAGTGCCTACTGCATGCGAAACAATGTTAGGTGTTGAGGGAAGGGTGCAGAGATAAAATGAAAAACAACCACCAGCTTCAAGAAGCATGCATTCCAGCAGTGGTGGGGATATATACAACATGGAAACAGAAAGGTAAGCCCAAGATTGATTGAGAAGGGGGTGCAAGGAGGGTCAGGAGAGACTTGTGTCCTGATGCAGAACAGAGCTGAGGCTTGAAGGGAACTAGGGATTCTGACTGCAACAGGTGAGAAGGGACTTTGAAAAGACGCAGAAATGGAATTCAGTGCTCAGGAAAAAGCCCAAAAGGCCAGTTGGATTGGTTCATGGAAGTCATGAAAGGGAGCAACATGAAACTAGGCTGAAAATGTAGTAAGAAGCCAGATTGTGAAGGGCTTTAAATGGCCAATCTACAGAGTTTACAGATGATCCTAGAGGCAATAGGGAGTGACTGAAGAATCTTGAGCCAGAGATCACCATGGCCAAATGGATTGAAAGAAGAATTTGGCACTTAAATAGAACAGAGCTGTCAAAAGCTGCCAACACTTTGGAGTGCCACAGGGACTGGATTAAAAGGTATTTGGGAAACATTTAACAGAATAAATAAAATAAAATAAAAAATAGATAACATTATACTTTAAAACTAAATGAATATGCAGCCCATGGGAATTCTTATTATAGATTAGTGGCTCCCATTTCAACTTGAGTTATATATCCTCTATACAAGAACCAACTGTGTAAAGGCTAGATTGAAGAAGCAAGAGACAGGAAGCAAAGAAATCAATTAGGAGACTACTTCAATAGCTTCATATTATAATGTAATAGTTTCATAATATATATGTATATGTGTGTATATATATAGGTATGTATTTGTGTGTGTGTGTGTGTGTGTGTGTATGTGTATGGAAATGTCCATTATCTGGTGTCTAAATTCAGATTTTTTTTTAAAAGAAAATTCCCTCCACCAAAGATGAAAAAAAAAAGTGTAGATAGTTCAGTGCAAACCAAGCTCTGACACCAGAAGCAATACTTGACAGATGATAAGTCAGCATCAAAACCTCGACATTAGACTGTCCCCTGTAACTTTAATAGCTCAGGGTTGGAAGGACCTTAAAGCTCAATTTGGCTGCCCCCCTCATTTTACAAAGGAGGTGACTGATAGAAATGATTTTCCCAAGGTCGCACACAGTCAAGTCAAGCCAAGGAGCCAAGCCTGCTGACTCCCTAGCATTTTCTATCCCACCACAGGGAAGCCTCCTTGTTTACCCCAATGGCTCTTCCATATCTTCACTGCATAAAATAAGACCCACCCTCAGCCAAAGTCCAGATGTCAAGTGGACCAAGAAATCTTTCTTATAATTGTGCATAGCCCAGCTTTCCTGCAGATGGTCCTGGAGCATCCTTGTAATTGTGTGAGCTTGACAGAACCAGCACTGATTTTACAACCCCTTAATTTTCTTTCTTTTCTGGTCTCAAGATGGGTCTAAGTATGAGATCATGATTCAGGCTTTAAATAGTCTTTTAAAAAGAAGTGATGGGGAAGGGAGGAGATTGAGGGCAGGGAAAAAGCGAAAGAGACAGGCAGCCTGTTGATTAAGCACCCTTCAGTGCCACTGGAGCTTAACAAGGCCCTGGCTCTTAACAAGACTCCAGGAGTTTCAGTATTTTGGACTCTCAGGCCAGTTTAAAAGAGGTTTTCTGATCCCAACTAAAATCCTACCTTCTATAGGAAGCCTTCCCTAATCCCTCTTAATTCCAATGCTTTCCCTCTTTTAATTATTTCCTATCGATCCTGTATATAGCTTGTTTTGTATATATTTGTTTGCATATTGTTTCCCCCCATTAGACTGGAAGTTCCTTGAGGGCAGGAACTATCTTTTGCCTCCCTGGGGACCCTAGTGCTTAACACAGTGCCTGGTCCACAGAAGGTGCTCAATAAATGTTTACTGCTTGATTGACTGAATCACTCAGACCTTGGCCAGCCCTTTAATTTTAATTTATCAATCAACTAGCAAGCATTTACTAGCCAGGACCTGGAGATACAAATATGAAAGGAAGATACAGTCCCTGCCTTCAAGGAGCTTAAATTCTATTTTTTTAGAATTTTAAATTTAGAAGGGTCCTCAGAGGACCTATAGTCCCATTCTCTCACTTTAAAGAAAAAAACTGAGCTTTAGAGAGTTTGACAAGATCAGGGCCCTAGAGTTGTGCAAGCACTCAGAAATCAAGCCAACTCTCTCATTTTACAGATGAAGAAACTTAGGCCTAAGGAGGTTAAATGACTTACCCAATCTAGGTCCTGCCCTGCCTTGGTACTGAATGCAGACACACATGTATTAGAATGAAGAATGAGCAAAGATGAAGTAGGAACCTCAGGGCCAGGCTAGTGCTGCCCATAGGAATCATTATAGTTATGTTAAATGGAAGTAAGCCTTAGGGAAGTCATTCATCCATTCTAGGCCTCCATTTTCTCCACTCTAAAATGAGACAGATGGACCAGGTAGTCTCTAAGGTGACTCTTGGTTCTTCTTATTTTTAATTTTTATTTATTATATTTTTAATTTATTCTTCTTGGTTCTTAATCTTGGTTCTATGATCCTGGGACAAGCAGGAACAAAAAATCCCTTCAGGCTCTGGAATTCTATGATTCCAAGGACCCTGGATATTTTCTTCAATGCTCAAGGGAGCTAGAAGGAACCTTCATGGCCATCATATCCATTTGACAGTTGAAGACACCAACGTCTGGGGAGGTTATTGACTTGGCCAAAATAACTCTTATAATAAACATCAGAGGAAAGATTTGAACCCAGGTTCTCTGACTCCAGAGCCTCTATTTTTTTCTATGCTACACAGCTGCTACACATATAAAACTGGAATAGCACATTTTTCTTCATGTAATATTGTCATCTAAATAGGGATGAGCCTATGATTTCATTTAGGTGGGGAGCTACCAGGGAGGCACTCTCTCTACTCACACAGGTCAACAGTCTTTAGAGAGTTGCCTAGAGCAATGGTGTCCAACTCAAATAGGAACGAGTGCCATGGGAACCATACATTAGGGTCCCTGTGGGCCATATATTGACTTAGAAAAGCACATATTAATATTATCTATGTTTTATTATATTTTATGTGTTTTGTTAAATATTTCCCAATCACATTTTAATCGAGCTCTGCCCAGACTGGGGAGTGTTGTGGGCCCCGTGTGTGTGTTTGCCACATCTCGCCTAGAGCACCGAGAGGCTAAATTACTTGGCTAGGTTACTGAGCCACTATGTGTCCCAGATGAAACTGGAACCCAAGTCTTCCTAGCTCTAAGATCAACTCTTTATGTACCATGCCACATTGCTTCAGCAATGTCACTTAAATATCCTTACAAAATAGAACTAGATGAGAATTAGCAAGATTTAATAGTGAATACAGAGCTGTTCTTGGAGACAGGAATACAAAGGCTTAGATTCCAGTCAAGATACTTGCAGTTTGACATTAGGCAAGTCACTTAATCCTTCTGAGAGCCTCCATTCCCTCATCCAGAAAATGGGATAATACTAGCATTCGCCACACAGAGTTGTTTTTTTTTTGAGGATCAAGTGAGACAATATATAAAGTGCTTTCCAAACCTAAAAGTACTTTAGAAATGTCAGCTTTTCTATGTTGTTATTATTATTAATATCAGAAGCAGCCTTAGCATTTCTTATATCAAGCCTGGGTCTTGATACCAGGAGAGTGATTGAATCATTTCATAGCCACTGCAGAGGACAGAAACTAGAAAGGCTTGTATCTGCCTTGCCAAAAAGTTCTCTCTTTGAAGAAAAGGCTCCTGGAACTGGGAGCACCTATGGAGAGGCTAATTAAAATCAACAGAGAAATTAAAAGTGGGAGAACCAGGCCAAGGCCAGAAAACCAGATACACCTCATCTAGAGATTAGATTTCTCTGATGCTTTTCAGAGCCCAAATGTCTCCAAGGAAAAAATTTTGAGTCTTCAAAATATCCTATGAGAAGGAATACAGACACTTAGAGGCATGGTCATGGGGTTAGACTTTCATCAAGTATTCATGCCTAATTTGCCTCCTGTGTCTCAGTTTCCACACTGCACACTGCTTTTTAAAATAAGGATGCTAGGGGCAGCTAGGTGGCATAGTGATAGAGCCCTGGCCCTGAAGTCAGGAGGAACTGGGTTCAAATTCGGCCTCAGACCACACACTTGACAATTACTAGCTGTGTGACCCAGGGCAAGTTACTTAACCCCAATTGCTTAAATAAATAAATAGATAGATAAATAAATAAATAAATAAAATAAGGATGCTAGCCATTGGAGAAGAGAATCCAGAGGAAACCACTGTGAATCCCTGGTGCTCTGTGATGAGCTGGGATTGTCTGGTCCAGGTCAGAATTTTATCAGTTTTCATTCATCCTTTAGCTTGGGGTAAGGGGGGGTAGGATAAGGGTGGTTATCAAGTTATATGTGGTTATTAACCAGACAAAATGGCAGGGATTACACTCTATTAGAGTAGTAAACCTGGGTAGCTTTAAAAAAAATTTGAACAGAGAAATGTTTTCACTTATTCCACTCTAGATTAACTTAACTTACCTGGTGAGAAACCACATGAGTGGGGCAGGGGCAGGGGGAAATATAGATAGGATTTTCATTTTCCTCCTGCCTAAGATCTCTCTGTCACCAACATAGTTCCAAAGTTTATTTTTCTCTTCCGTTGACATCATAGTATTCTTACCAGTAACAGCCAGCTTTGGGTCAATGCTATTTTTATTTTCTCAGATGAATAATTCAATTTAGGCTCCTTTGTTATTCTCTAAAGGAAGAG